TCTAAGACCTCCAAGCACAATCTTTAAGACCTTTGGGTATAATTCCTAAGACCTCCGAGCATAATTTCGACTTGCGGGGTTGTCTCGGTCATTCTTTACTTTTCAACTCGTGGTGTTGTCCTAGTCATTTTCTTATTCTTCGACTTACGGTGTTGTCCCGATTGATTCTTTACATTTTCAACTCACAATGTTGTCCAGGTCATTTTCTTTACTACTCGACTTATAACGTTGTCTCGATCGATTATTTATTTCTTGACTTGCGGTGTTGTCTCGATTAATTCTATAATTTCTACTTGCAGTGTTGTCCTAGTTCGTTTTTTTATTATTCCACTTGTAGTGTTGTCTCAGTCATTTTCTTTACTATTCGACTTGCGGTGTTGTCCGGTCATTATTTTTATCACTTGACTTGAGGTTTAATCACAAAACATAAAATAAAATAAAATAAAAACTTTTGAAAAATCCTCGATTTCCTTTTGGATAAAATTGTTGTCTTTGTCTTTGTCCTATTCCTAATTCTCAGTAACGTGTAAAAAGAGGCAACTGTAGACACCAATTTAAGTTTTCAAGTTTTATCAAGTTCATGGGCCAAAGCCCAATTTCTTCTTTGAGCTTGAGCCCATTGTTGTTGTTTTATTTTTAATGTTGTTTATCAAATATCATTTATTAATTAAACATTAAAAATACAAAAAAAAAGTAGCAGAAAGTAAAGGGCTGATGCCTAGCACCAGCCACCCTGCAACTTCCTGACACCACCCTGCCGCCACCTTACAGCCACCAGACTAGCCACCTATAGCCACCCCTTACAGCCTACCCTTGCTACATCCTACCCTTGCTACATTTGTAGCCACCTAAATCCTCAACTCCTTAAAGCACCCAGCTTTTTCCCCTCTAATCTCTCTCAAATGCCCAAAAACCCCATTTAGCCACTACGAAGAGATAAAAACCTAGAAACCCTCAAGTACCGATCCTTCTCACCCTCATTCGACCCTCACCAAGCCTTTAAACATTTACACTTCATGAACCTAAGCTTACCCAACGCCACACACCCACTCTTTACACCTGAAACCACCACACCAAGACCCTCAAGATACCCGTTCAAATACCTGGTTCTACCCCTAACCCAGTTCCCTTTCAAATAGCCACAACCATAAACAAAAAAAAGATCAAAACAAAACAAACACAGTCCGTACCGTAGGGAGGAACCCCGCCCCGAACCACCTGTAAAACCAAGAAAACAAAAATCACATTAGTTTTAGTTTATAAAAAAAAAAAAAAAAAAAAATTAAAAACTTCAAGCCTCGATCTACATTGATCGGGGCTATTTCTTGCAAAAAGGAAGATGGATTTGAGCTCAAAAAATCAAAGGAAGTTTTTGGTGACATTTGGCATTTTTTGACCATCGACAGGAACCACCAATAACGACCGATACTATAGCCAATGTGGCAGGGCAGGTGGCTAAACTCCGGTAGAGTCCTTGGAACTCTCTCTAGAGCTCTAAGTTATTTTTTTAACAAGAAGGATAGAATGAACTGAAAAAAAAATTTCGATTTTATATAGAAGCTAAAGCAAAATGACACCATTTTGGACTAAGGGAGGATCCACGCATGCTCGTGACCCGACTCAGGGTCCGTGCATTCGACCTGGTGACCCATCCTTCACCCAACCTTAAACCGATCCAATCGAATAGTCCAAACCACCTGAACCATTGACTGAACCATTAATCAGCTCAAACCATTGACTGAATCATTAAACCGCTCGAACCGCTCGAACTGCTCGAACCGTCCGAATCGACATTGATCGGATTGTTGACCAATCCAATTCAGGTAATTTTATATTATTATATATATATATTATTTATATTATTTTGGTTTTATTATTGTTATTTATGCATTTTTAACACCTCTAAGTTTGTTAGAATAAAATTTTTTTATTTTATATTAATAATTGATAATAACAACAAAAATTAAAAAAATGATTTCAAATTTTGCGTATATTTTTCTTTAATGATAATAACTTAGGTGTTACATAGAAAATTATAAAATGATCATAAAATAAATTAGTAATAAGAAAATTTTTTCTACCTAGATGTTGGAGGGAATATAATAGCATTTTTTATAATAATAATTTCACCTAGATGTTAGGAAATTATTTAAAAAATTAATAAATTAATTAATAATTTTATTAATAATAAAAACAATAAATTTTCATAAAAAATATATGAAAATTTTTAATTAATTTTCAAAAATCATAACAATCGAACTTACTTTGAAAGTCCACATAGATGTTGAGGATTTTTAGAGATGTTTGTGTTTTCAAAATTCAGAATGAAAATCAAAACCCTAAACCTTAAAATTAAAACCCTAAAATCAAAATCCTAAACCCTAAAACTAAAACCCTAAACTCTTCAAATCTTAAAATCAAAACCTTAAAACATCAAACCTTAAAATCGAAACCCCAAAATCAAAACCCTAAATCCCACAAACCTTGAAACTAAACCCTAAAACCTCTAAACCCCGAAATTAAAACCCTAAACCCTCAAAACCTTAAAACTAAAACCCCAAACCCCAAAATCGAAACCTAAAATCTAAAATCTAAATCCTAAAATCCAAAATTTTGAAAACCTCAAATTTGGTATGAAATTTTGAATCATTGTCCGAAAGTCACCAAATCTTAAAACCTCGACCTAAACCTATACTCAAAACCATTTTGAAACTTTAAGGATACATGTAAAAATCTCAAGTGGAGTAATTTGTTCTCGCATGCTGCCTAGATGATGGAGTATTTAAAGAAATCTTATTCCATTAAGTTTTTCTCATAAGTCCTTAATTCGCTTTAACAATAGGGTTAATAAATGATAAATAAAAAAGATATGATAATGAAATGGGATCTTAAATATGAATAGTTACACCTAAGCTCCGCCTAAATATTAGGGAGTCAAGGTAGTCTCATTATATTTAAGAATCCAATTTCAAATTTGCATTTCATCATCATACACTGGACCTATTGGCTTACATGCATTTATTTGTTATTGTTTGCACTCGTTTGCATTTCTTTGTCTTTAATTTTTACTTGCTATTTGATAATATCATCATTTACTTTTTTGCATAAAATGTTTTTTACTTACTTTAAAAATGTGAAGTTATAAAATAAAACAAAAATAACATCCTGAGGGGAATAGTTCTTGATATTCTACTTAGATGTTGGAGAGTTATCAATAATTATCTTTCTCAAAGGATGTCATGATAAATATTAGTTAAAAGCATTATCTTTAAAGTTCTACCTAGATGTTGAAAAATTTTAAGATAATTCTTTAACTTAAAGATTTTCTCGATACTCCTACATAAAGAATTTTGATAAAATTATTTTTTTAAATAATAAAAAGGGATTATTATTAAGTTTCAAACTAAAACAATTTCGTCCAACACCAAAAATAGCACATGATTAAATGGTACCAATTTATAGGCGTAGTGGGGGTGCTAATATTTCCCTACACATAATCAACTTTCAAACTCAACCTAATTTTTGTAGATTGAAATTTATCTTTTTGATAAACTTTAAATCTGCTTTTATAGTTTTATTAAAAAGATAAACCTTTGGGTGATCAATTACATCCTAAAAAAGATTGGTGGTGACTCCTTTTATTTTTCTCGAATTTGAAATTCTTTACGTCTGACGGTCTCAAAATCGATACGACAAAAGGTTCAAGATGGGTCGAAGGTAATTTAGCAGTCTAAAAATGGTTCAATCGACAGTTTAATGATCTAGATGTAGTTCAGTTGATGATTCAGTGGTCCAAAAAGTAGTTTAGTTGAGCTAGTCGATGATTCAGTTAGACTGGTTCTAAGTCTAAAGGAGAAATAGGTGGTGGGTTGGGTTACATGGGTCTTTAAGTAAGTTCAGGCAAATATGTGAACTTTTCCCCCAAAAACGCAATGTTTTGATTTTTTTTAGTTATAAAATGATCATTTTTTTAATTCATTTCTCCTTTTAGAAAAAAAATTTTTTAAAATTTCTAAAAAATAAAAAAAACTTTTCGTAGCAAGCCAAAATCTAAAAAGTGGCCGATCGTCACTGTGCTCTATCGTTACCCATTATCGACCACCATCGTCGATCATCGAAAAATGCCTAAAAAACACAAAAGCACTCATTTTACCTCTCTTTCCACTTTCAAATTGCCTTTCTCATAAAACGACCTCCACAAACCTAAAATGACCTTCAAAGTCTTGGCCGAAACCCTTTTTTTTTTTGTTGTATTTGTTCTTGGTGTTGTGATTCCCCATTTATAGGGATGTTTTTTTTGTTGTTGCTTTAGGTGTATTTGTTTCGAAAAAAAAAAAATTTAGGTATTTTTTGGCAAAAGTTTTTTTTTTCTTCTTTGATCTTCTTTCAAGCTCAATTTATTATTTATAGAGCCAGATAATATCTTAAATCCCTAGTCTTATGGGATTTTGAAAGTCTCAAGGTACTGTCAATAGCCTTTCCAACGACCAAATCTCATGCTGCGTGGGTGGTTGCAGAGTCTTAGAGTTTCAATTTTCTCCATTTTGGCTTAAATCGAGTTTTTAGAAAATGTTGAAGACTCTACCAAGATTGAAAGAAAAAGTCAAGGGGTGGACTTCACTTGGGCATGGGGTTTGCAAAAAAATAAAGGTCGAATGGTCCCCTTGAATGTCAGTGACTTCCCTTTTTACCCATTTTTTATTTTTTTTAATTTTTATTCTTTTTATTTCAATTTATTTGTTCTTTTAATTTTAATAAAATTAAATAAATCTTTAAAAAAAGCTTGGTATCTCATATGAATTCTAGGTTAAAATCTTAGGCTTTGGCCCAAAGATATTAAATTCGAACTTAGGTTTACAATCCCATTAGGCCCAAAGTCACAGGCAAACCAAATAATAGAGATTGGACCTAATATGAATTATGCACTTTAAAATGTTCTAAATCATAAACCCACATACATCAAAATGAAGTTCAATTGAGATTTTAAAATGGGCCAAAATTAGACGAATCTCCAAATACAGATGAAATTAAGATTCACATATAAATTATTAAGTTTCGTGTGTAAATTATTATCCAAACAAAATTAAGTGTCCACATCTAACATTTAAAAAATTACTAAACAAAAATAAATCATCCAACAACCAAAATTCTTTTTATTCTAATTCAAAGATGCCAATTTACATATTGGCACATTATCTTATGAAACTCTCTGATTTTCCAACTTGAAAAAAAAAAACCAAAGAGAAATGACCATTGAGGCAGACAGGAGAAAGCCTTGGCAAATTGGGAATGGATGGTAGGGGTATCATAGAAGAATTTCGTCTTGAACACTGACATTTAGTGTCTTGTTTGGAAGGATAATGCTATTAGTGACCACTACTTCATCTTCAACAACCACCGCTTCTCCTGCAACAAATTTGCAAATACCAGATTGAGCATTGTGAGTAACAAATTAGCTTACGACAAGTAATGAAGCTAATAAAAAGAGTGGCATTGTTTCCAAGTACCAAGAATTGTAATACCAAGTTTGGCATTATAGTCCCCTTCAGCCTGCAACAAGTCGCTCGAATTTAGCACAAAATGGCAGGTTGAAGAGCATGTAAGAAAGATTAAAAAAAGTACTCATTTTCATTTCATGAAGTTAATAAGCTAATTGAATTGGGAAAAGACAAATTGAAAGGGATATTGTCGACTGAGATATGAATGACATAAAAGATCTAGCATTTCGGTTTTCAATCTTGACACTGCTATTCATCATTACAGTTCGAAGGACATCCCTTACTTGAACTTAATATAATTATCAAACACCAGAGTTTTTACTTAATTATGACATCATCAATGAATCAAGGCAATAAAAATTCATCAGAAAAGTAGCATATAACTGGTTAATACAAATTCAACATCCTTTCTGTCGTCAGTATCATGTAAAAATAAATATGAGTTAAACTTGCCTGAACACGGGACCATTTCCCAATAGAAGACTTCCATCCGACAATCGCATGTAAAACAACTGCATTGTCCTGAGGACAGAACAAACACGAGTCATCACTCAAAACAGAGAAAATGGTTACACAAGTCAGGTTCAAGGCAAACTCAGGTTACACTTTTACACACATTAAAATATTGAATTCAGTTACATACCATGATTTCAACACCATCAAGAATGATACAGCTGAAGAGCCTTACACCTGCTCCTATACGAGCATTAGCAGATATTGAAACATTGGGACCAATCTGTTTCACAACGTAGCAGACTAGTCAATCCCAAAGATAACACAGACCACTAAAGAAAGAGAACATTCATATAATTGAAAGAAGTAACACCATCTTGGGTGTCAAATGGTCCTTCACTCTCTATGGGTTCTAATTGGGCTTCAGATATTATTATTATTTTTTTAGGGTTAATGTTATTATAGTGAAATGTTCAATATGATACCTGAACTTTAAAAATCTCTAATGTGATAATTATGAGTTTGTTAACTAATATGGTACTCATCCTAACATGGTTAATTCCAAATGTTGACACGTGGCAACAAACAACCTTCGAAATACCACATTTTTTAATATATTTATAGTTTAAGTACTACATTAGAGATTTTTTAAATTCATGTATCACAGTAAATATTTCACTATAATTCAAAGGCCATTCGTAACATTATCCCTTATTATTATTATTATTATTATTATTATTATTATTATTATTAAAGCTTTCAAGGAATGCAAAATAGTATATAAGTATCAGAAAATATTCTGATGCACGTTCCTTCCCCCAACAATCACAGCCATCTACCATACACTTTGTCATCCATTTGAAGCGGGTCTGATATATGGAACTGCAGCAAGAACTTGAGGGGGATAAAACATCTATGAAGAAGGTCCTAAATTTTTTACAATTCCATTAACCAAGGCAAACTTCGTACTAGACAATTACCTAGAGCAGCAGTGCTCTACTCTGCACACACAACATGATCAGAAAGTAATGGAAGGATGTTACCTTAGCACTTGGATGTACTTTTGCTGATGGATGAATATAAACATCACCAATAATTGTAGCACTTTTTGTTCCATCCCCACTAGCCAAAAGATTGGGAGAGGTGAACCGAAATTGGGCAAGATACAAAGCAGAACATTTTAGGGACATTCTGCAGATATTAACATAGAAAAACCAGGTTTACTCGAGGGGGAAATTATGCTTGTTTTTTTCATTTTAATTATGCGATTCCCAGTTCCCACTTGAGTCTTGCTTTTGTTGGATGTTTTGGTTTTGATTTTTCTCTGTTTTCATTAAACAAAACTACAAACACTAGGAGACAGAATAAAGAAGGGGAAGAAAAAAGAACTGGAAGCTACTGAAACAAATAGCACCATATATGCATCGGTCTGGCTTACCCAGGGGTTTTAATTTGTTCCCAGAAATCCATGGTTTCATATGTATACAACTGCTTCTTCCCTGCAAAAGGAGTCAGGATGTCTTGATCCAACCTTACAAAATCTGAGGGAAGATTCCTGATAAAGGAACTCGTATTAGCATACATGTTGAGATACACATCTGGATTCAGCTGGATCCAAAATGGGCTAATGATAAGTGTACCAACAAATTAAAGAAATTAAATTCAAAATAAAGATATTTTAAGATTTCTCTGTGAGAAAGAATGCCCACAGCAGGCAGCTCCCAGTACGTAAAGTCACAATACTGGTTCAAACAGCCCCTAGAAAATACATGCATGATCCAGTTTTATTTAGATTCCAACTCCATCTGCACTAAACACTGAAAGTGTGCAGCTATTGTGTGTATGTTTTCATCTATATAGCTACATTATAGCCTAGAAAACAACTGTTACTGTAAAGCCTCAATATAGAACTTGTTTCCCTCCTCCCCCCCCCCCCCTTTTTTTTTCTTCCTAGTAACTGATATTGTAGCAATAAAGTCATAACACCCCACAGAAAGATAACAAGAAATAACATGTCAAATATTCAAATGGACTTTTTGATGGCTTTTGAAAAAAGCAGGTTTAAAATATGAAACTTCATATATCCAAGGAGAGCATATAGTAGCATTTTTCTAATCTATTATTTGCATATTATCTTAACAACAAGATTGATGCATCAGAACGTATGGAGAATGTGAAATAACATGGCATTCCACATATGATAAATTAATCTGCACAGGTAGATGTGAATGGGGGTAGACATGAAGTAACATAAACTAAGTACAACTTTACTTGTGTGATTCCTAAGGACAAAGAAAGAGAAAAATGAATGGAGTGCACCTAATGTTGCTACGAGCATACCTTGTAGCTGAGTGGAGGGCTTCAAAGCTGGAGAGACGTCTCAGATTGGCTACAGGTAGCAAAACATGAATTCAGATTTCAGCATGATGAAGATTAATGATATTCAGATGTAATGAAATACAAGCCAAGGGTAAGTTTTCTATTGGATCATGATGTGGAAAGCTGGCATAACTAGAAAAGGAAAAATAAATTTATTGTTAAAAATGATCCCCTAATAACAGAACCGGCCAGTGCATTCTGTTTATGCTTCAAAGGTGAACAGAGCTGCAACATCTAGCAACTTTGAAATTAAAAACACAAATTTCATTTAAACATCTTGTATCACCACCTCTGTCTTTCCGTTGACAAGAAACACCATGGATGGCAGTAAAAATATCTGGTGTAAATACATAGACACCACAATTAATATGATCACTCACCTGCATTACGACAAGATATTAGAGCAGAGCACCCATTAGATTTAAACGTTCAAAGAAATAACAAAAAATAGATAATTTGCCAAATTGTAGTTGAATCTCTAATTCTGCACATACGAAAGTTTCAGGTTTCTCTGTATAATGTAACAGTTCATTGGTGACTGGTTCTGCTACCAACTCCCCAAACTGACTGGCTGACTCCGCTGAAACCTGTAAAGAGAAGAAGAATGAGGCCAAACTACACAAGAACATATCAGTACTAAAAGATCACGCCATGACAGAAATTTCCTTATCATAAACATCTTGCAAGTCTGCTGACCAACCTTGATTACTAGGATAGTCCCCATACCACCATATCTTTTGTGAGCCTCTGTGAATGTAAAAAAAAAAAAAAGGGTAAAAGGCAGGATTAATCCTCCAGAAAGACAAAATAAATAAAAATCAATATCCTCCTTGTCATTCTATTAGTGTCAACTACAATTTAGTCCTAAGATATCAACTTCAGAGATTTTGGCAACACAAAAAAATACTACAAAGCATGATAGCATAATATCAACAAGAAATTCTAATCGGAAAATTAAGATCAATACATTAAGGGTTCAAACACTGTAAAGAAGATTACCAAGCATTTCTGGTAGTGGAAAACTGCAGCAAACATCAAAATTCAGCACGAAAATATGAGACTGCAACAAGAAAAGCACACAACACATTTAACTTAGTAAGTCAAAGTGAAGTATGTATAAACAAACAGTGCAAATTACGGTCAGCATTTTTCTCTATATTTTGGTCTATTTAATCACAAGTGCCAAGACAAAAGGATACGCCTCTATGAAGGAAACAGGTTAAGAAATAAACCGGATTGTCTTCCATGATCAGATCTTTGAAGTTGTAAAGTCCACCAGCCGAACCATGAGGCTTGTCTTCCCTTAAGTATCTAATAGCAGTATAAACAAAGGATCACCACTAGGATAAATCAATCATAAAGACATATCAATCCCCTCATGAGAATTCATATATTTAAGTGAGTACAAAAGAAGAAGTTACCTGACAGGAACACTTAGCTCATTAGATATTGCTGAGACATACATTGCAAATTCACGCTCCTCATGGAAACCAACCAGATAGATCTGGACTAGGTTTGGAATCTACAACAGACGCATTGATCTTAATACAACCAGAACTATAAAACATTATACCCTTTCACAAGCAGAAATTAGATGATGTAAAACATGCATTTTTATATTCTACTAGAATAGATCAAACATTGTACCCTTTTACAAGCAGCAATTGGATGTTGAACCATAGGTTGTCCGGCCAAAGGAAACAGAGGCTTTGGGATGTTCAATGATAATGCACGAAACCGAGTGCCTGCAATATGCAAAATTCCGACAGAATTCAAAGTGATTACATGTCAAAACTTATTATTGAATCGAAATTGTTACTGCTAGACCAGACTAATATGCAAGGGAAATAACAAATGCATTCCACTTTTCAGTCCAAAAATTCAAAATATTAATCTGAAATCTCAAACAAATAATTGAAAACGAAAGAAGTTCACTAATTTGACTTTAAGTTGTAAACATAAACCAAAGAACAAAGACAGAGGATCTCATTATTTATAGCCAACAAACTTTATATCCAATCCAAATAATCCAAACGGACTTATAAACAAGCCATAACATCCAAGTTTAAAAATTTCCCTTGTAAAAACTTATTTCTGCACAATCTTTAGAACATAACAGCCATACCTTTAGTTGGTCCACCCACCATGATCACAGCAACCACCTTCTCCTCTGAGCTCCCCATCTCCAAATCAACAAAAACCCAGATCTCCAATGCACACCAATTGCTAAAACGAACTCCTATAGGGTAAGAGTACCCTTTATAAAACTAACAAACAAACTAAATTCACATTCTAAACATGACCCAGATGTACAATTTCGATAAACATTAAGCCATACACTACCAACCAAATAAGCTCACAGTAGCAGTACCTAAAATGCCTGTACCTTCAGTTAAAGAGAAAAAAAAATAAACGTGGGCGACGACTGAAGAGTCAGATAAATGAGTAGAATTTTGGATTTGCTAAGACAAGACAGACAGGTCTTGCTTGCCACATGTACGCTAATAAAATAATAAATAAATAAATAAAAGACGTTTCCTTAGCCATGTAAAAATTTGAGTTCTACGTTAAATTGAAATTTGATTTTAATCGATTAAATTTTAATTTATAAGTTTAAATTTAATATAAAATAAAAATTATTTTATTTTATTTTATTTTTTAATAAAAATAAATTTGATTTTTATTTTAATTTTAAATCTAAATATATATTTAAATTCAAATTTGAATTTAAATTAATATATAAAAATAAAATAATAAATTTTTTAATTAAAATAATAAAATATATTAAATTTTAAAAATTCAATTAAATTTATGAAATTACTCAAATGTTTAACTAGACTAACTCAATAAATCTAACTACTCAACTTGATAATAATTAAATTAAATTAAATTTTATTTAAATCAAATTTAACTAACTTCCAAATATTGATATATCATTTCCGCTACTGGCCATAACCATGTGCATGTTGGCTGTTTCTCTGGCGTTTGTGTTCTTTTACTCTTCTGTTACTGTGGGAGGAGGAAATGGGCTTATCGGTTGGGTTTAGTGGTGGGGCAGCTTCCCTCACTGGCAATTGTCCCACTTCACCGTCTAGGTTGGGACTTGGGATAATATGAAGGACAAAGGTTCACATCAATGGTAGTTTTGCAAATAATGGCCCAATAAGTTTTTTTTTTATTTTTTTTATATTTGAAATTGATTTAAATTCTGATCATGGAGTTATTACTCGATAAGTTTGTCTAAATTTCTACTGTTTCTTTTTACTTGTCTTTGCGTACATTGAGAGAAAAGATCAAACGAAAAAAGAAAACAAGAAACATGATATGTGAGTTCATGCTACTCTAATTAGCTCATTTACATGATGAGTTACAAAGGAAACTCTAGTTCGATCCTGAATTATTGTTTCATAAGTTTTCGGTAATAGGATTGAAAGATTATCACTAGTTTTTTATTATATTAATATTATAATTTTCATGCGTGTAAAGTTCTAACAGTGAGTTTGGTTCGGCTGAATCCGGATTTCATTTTGGGTCTATTCCCAATTTTTGTGGTCAATTCCGATCAAAGTCAGAATTGCAATGGGCTCCCTCATGGTATTTACAATTCTCTGAGACCGAAAAATCGAAACATGTTTTTAACCCCATTTTGTCCCTAGTATTTTATTGATTTTTCTAAATAGCCCCAAACATAATACTGGAGACCATGATCGGCGAACAGTACTCCACCACCACCGTGGACGAAAAATCACCGACAAATAACAACCAACATCATTTCACGAGGGAATTAACACACACACACAAAAAAAAAAACAAAGCAAAGAGAGAGAGAGAGGGAGATCGGAGGAAGCCGGTAGTGGTTGAAGAGCTTTCATATTAAACTTGTCAGGTAGAATATTTAGGTGAGGGAAGAGATATGTTTCATTTTCAGAAAATTTGGAGCAGCGGAAGATAGTGTTTTTTAAGGTGAAAACCATGAGCTTGGAAGTTAGATCTAGGTGATTTTCAAAAAAAAAAAAAATCAAGTTGATAGAAGTGAAGAAGAGGTTAAGACGAGCATGTGGGTGAAATTTGGTAAAAATCAAAGTCGATCAATGGCGGCGGACGATGGCTGCTAGCGCCAGTCAATGGCTGTGAGATTTTTAGAGTGAGGGAGTCTAGTTTTAGAGGAAGGAAGAGAAATGAAGAAGAAAATGGGGAGGGAGAGAGAAAAGTAAAGAAGAGAGGAAAGAAAAAGAAAAAAACGAGAAAAATTAGATTTTTTATTAATTTAATTAATTATTTATTTTCATTTAATTTTTGTAAAATATATTTATTTTTAACAATTAATTTTCATTAATTAATTATGTCTAATTTTATAGTAATTAATTATAATTAATAATAAGCGAGAAAAAATTAATTAATTATGATTAATATTATTTTGTAATAAATTATAATTGATTCGATCAAAAAATAAAATAATTTTTTAAACTTATTACAATAATATTTTTTAAAACTAAACATATTAATATTAATTCTTATTATATTGCCTTTTAATGAACCAATGATCATAATAATTATTTTACTTCATTCTCTTTTATTTTATTTGGCGAACTAAATGTGTCATAAAAGTTACAAACTAGATAGGGAAAAAAATATATTATAATTGAAGTGATGTTTTTAGCTTTGGAATATTAGAGAGAATAATATAATTTGAGTCTTTTCGATGATATTTATTGAGGTTATTTTAAATATATAATTTAAAATTATTTATTTTAAATTATTAGATAAGATATATTTTATTTTAATTTAAGAAATTGAATAGTTTATTTATTTTAAATTTTTTTATCAAAAAAATAATACAATTATTTACATTTATTATAATAGAATTAACTAATTATAATTTTGCATGATATAAAGTTCATCAAAAAATTATGTAAAATTTACACTTTTAAATTATAAATTTTTACATAATTTTTTTATTATAAATGACTAATTAAAATATTTTAATAAAAATGTAAGTAAAATAATCATTAGAGTCGTTTGGTTAGCATCCTTAAACAAAACTTGATGACGAATTGTATATTCATTAAAAAATTGTTGGTGTTGTCGTTATGGTCTAAATGACGACTTATCGGTAGTTAAAATGTTATACTATTATTTGGTATGAAAAATATCAATTACATAATTTGTTGATAAAACATTAAATTTTAAAATTTGAGAAATTTAAGTTTAAAAAAGAAAATGCTCAAAGCATTTTAGTTCTCATTTTTTTAATGAAATTATAAAAAAAAAAAAGCTATAATTATAGTTAAATATTATATTTATATATAATATATCACTTATAATCAGCTAATAAATTAAAAAATAATTAAACAATCAAACTCAAAGACAATAAAACTTGAAGCTAAAACCTTGGAATTCTAAAATTTTCTCTTTGCCACTGAACTAACAGCACATTGGCAAATACTTACTTAATTGCTTAATACATTATATCCACAGCTTCCACCAATTCACTTTCATATCTTTGTGAAGAAAAAATATATATAGAATAGAAAGTATTCCCATACCCATAACAAAACTATGAATCTCTCATAAAATTAAATTAAAAACAATAACTCTTTGAATGTAAGTAAAGTACCGGTGTTTTGGCCACCAAGTTTGCCACACCCACACACAACCCTGCGGAAGCCTTAAATTTCATAGTACAATTCAATTTCTTTAAATTTGCTTCTAAATTAACAAGGCAAAAAGCTCAAATGGATCATAATTTTGGGAATTTATAGTTCATGTTTCCAAAGAGGCAGCACAATTTGTGTACTTCAACTCTCATGCAGCTGAGGCATGAACTACTTGCCGGAAGGATGGCTGTTGTAAATGATTTGGGATCAGTATAATGACCAAGTGGCCGGGTCTTGGATGACAGTAAATGGGCAACACCATCCAAGAGCTCTGGCAAATGCTTCTATACGAAAACCTGATAAGAATTTAAGGACCAACATGCAGCTAATATCCTCACTATTTGCATGGTCCCTCAACAGCAAACCTCCCAAACTCATTTTCTCAAATCATGTGACTTAGACATGAGCAAAAATCATGGCCAGGTGGCTAGAGAGGATAGAACTCTGTCCAAAATTAACATGTTGTAAGACTTGGAATTAACCAGTCTTGTCTGACTGAAATCATCCAAGGCTCCTACCCAACTGCCTGCCTCGGTTAAGTCTTAGAATTAGCCAACGTTAAGAGCTAGCAAAACAAAACTAGTTAAGTAGCGTGCATTTGTAATTTACATTCCAAACAGGTCGGCCAAAATGTTTTTACGTAACTCCAAACTCAAAACCAGTGGCATATCACATAACATGAGCGGCTATCGAAATCAATCACACATAGAAAACAATCACACAGAGAATCCAAAACAAATTGGTTCTCTCATTTTTCAGTTATGACGAATCTTTCCATCTTTTTAGCACAAACATCAATACACATCAACCTTCTGGTAGACCTGCAAATTTTATTTGTATTCCAACAAGAACTTCATTGCTTAGGAGGCTGGTACCATGCCCATGGTTCATCGGAGACATAATGTGTAACCTGTTTCACACTCAAGTAATTTTCAAGTCCCCTGCCAGAATGCCAAAAATAATAGATATTCATCTGTCAGTACAACACCTCTGATTACAGTCATAATAGAAACAGGAAGAAAATTTCAAATCTCTTGACTTTTGAGTTTTGACAAACAGGATATAGCATGTAATTAGGATTATAAGTATCCAAAAATTGAAATTTGGGTAATACCATTCCCCTAGTTCACGCCCAAAGCCACTCCATTTGATGCCTCCAAATGCAGCTTGGAAGAAGCATGGTTGTGAACAATTGATCCACACAGTGCCTGCCTGCAGAACCTGCATGAAAGAAGCAAAGGTAAATAATGATTAGCAAAAATAACTGGCATCTCTATCACAGCAGGCTTAGGTTGCAGGATTGAAAGATGCTTCAAGCACAAGTCTTACCTTGCTTAAGCGATCACATCTTTCTAGATCCTTCGATATCACAGCAGCGCCCAAACCATAACTAAATAATATTAGAAAGAAATTAGTTTAACTCTGTAGATCAAAATGATATGCCCTTTTTTTGGTTCAGGGGTCGATGTCGGGGTTGGTTAAAAAGGTAGAGGAAGGACAAAACAAAGTACTAAATCACACTTAATTGTATTTATCCAGATAGAAGGATCAACTCATGGGAATTGTATATTTAAACTTACTGGGTATCATTTGCCAATTCGATGGCTTCATCTTCAGTGGTAAATGTTTTGACAGAAAGAACGGGCCCAAAAACTTCTTCTCTCCATATTTGCATGGAGGTTTTTACATCAGTGATGATGGTTGGTTCAACAAAGAATCCTTTCTTTAAATGCTGGCAAGCATTTTATGAATAAGAAATGGTGAAGGATTTTAAATTGAGAATAGTACCAAGCATTGAGAAGCAGAGAATTATACCTCAGGACGAGCCCCACCATACAAAATTGTTGCTCCCTCACTCTTAGCAGTCGAAATGAACTTCAATACTTTCTCATACTGCAGCAGATTAATAAAATATTAATATGAATTTTTTTCCCAAATTTGAACCTTTAGATATTACCATAATAATGATATTTTGAGTTACATAAGTTACCAAATCAAGAATTACATTCCTGAAAAAGAAACACATTACTTCAAAGGAAGTTCTATCACTTGAAGGACCAATCAAGCCAACAGAATAAATTTAAAATTTCTCACATTCCATCAATCCCATCCAGACACTGAATTTAGAATTTGAAATGGAGAATAAAAAAATGACATGATAGATTTGCATGAAAACTTAGCATACGGCAAATCATTTGAATGACCATAGCTTATTTAAGTGGGAGCACAAATAGCAATTTCCAAAATTGAGGCTTTCAAATTGTCTTAACTCCCAATTTCCCGCTATGTGTTATAGTGCACTAGATTCTCTATTTGCAGATAGGTTTTAATTTTGTGCTGATATATCTAGTCTCTGTCTCAAGAAATGGTCAAAAGGCAAAAAGATGTCTTAAACTTTCAATGGAACTCCTTTCCAATCCAACATAAATATATAGTTAAAAAATGAAATAAAATACAGATAAAAAAAATTACTTACCTGCCCTCTACTAACAATGGGGCCAAGCTTGCAACCTTCTTCCAAGGGATCTGAAATTTTAATGTTCTCACTCCATTTCACAAGCCTGTCCAGAAATTCTGCTGCAATACTTTCCTGTGAAACAAAAGTCAACTCAGACTCTTCATGAAGGAGTTGGAAATAGAAAAAAGATAATAAAAACTGAAAAGAAGATGCTACAAAGTTAGTTCAAAAACTCATGGTAGCAGAAGCATTGTGTTTCCTTTCTTGGATCTATGGTATGAGCTTTTACTTGAATCCACAAAGAATATAGTTTCTGTCCAACCACTGTCCAATACAAGAAGGGTTATGAACTTATGAGGAAGAAGAAATAGAAAACTTTCCAAGACAAACCCAGTTTTTGGAGTTGATGAGATAGGCTTAAATATAACACATGAACATGGAGCCACTAAAGAGATTTCTTCATGCTTATTCACTGCTAGATCAGGTGCAAACTACTGCATCTACAAGAGCTAGGAAGGATGGAAGAGTCCATGAGGTTGGGATGGTTTCTATTTTGATGCCTTTTCAGTTTGATAGCTGACTTTGGTGAGCTACAGGTACCAGCTTTGTCTGGGCCATTGAGATCTCCCTTTCTATTAGTTTGGTCTGATCCCATAACACAGTAATTGTTTGCCCAATAGTGTTTGGGCATTTTAAATTGAGATTTATGCGGGGTTGGTTTGCTGCATTAGGTATCTGCTGAAGTGGATCCAAAAGTACTGTTTGGCTAATGTGCTTAGTCTAGCCGGTTTATGAATGGACTGGACCAGTTCCCTCTTAGTTGTGGCAAGTCTGAACCAAATAATATAAACAAAGTTTTTCATATATATCATAACCTCATGTCACATGTAAAGTGATATAAAAAGGAAATTGATAACTCTATAAAGGACAAAAAACCAATAAGTCCATGCACTTACATGCACAATAAGACGGGATGTTGCACTGCAGATCTGGCCATTTGTATAAAAGCAACCATATAAGGTCCACTCAACAGCTATTAAAAGCACGGGTGAGTAGATTAGCAACTGCATAAAGATATACTAGTTTTTCTGCATTGACAGTATCATATGAGCAAAATCTTATGAACAATTTGTTTATGATGAGAAACACAGGTAACAAGAAGGCTTAAAATAGTGATTCACATGGCACTAACCCTTGTCAATGTCAACATCCTCAAACACAACTATTGGACTTTTTCCACCAAGCTCTAAAGAAACAGGCTGCCACAGAAACCATAAAGAAGATTTTATGCACTGGATTATTAAAAAAAAAAAAAGGCTCAATGATCATATTTTAGAACTTCAACATACCTTGACCATTTTAGCAGCAGCTGTCATTATCTTGACCCCTGTCATTGTGCTTCCAGTAAATGCAATCTGTTAGCAACTAATCATTAGCAATTATGCCATGCCCAATTGGGATTTTACCAAACATCTTATGAAAATCAATTTTGTAGAAAGGGACATTGAAGAAAATGATTAACATCAATTTAACCTTGTCAACATGGGGATGAGATGCCAATGATGCACCAGCTTCAGGTCCCAGTCCAGTCAGAATGTTGAGGACACCAGCAGGAAGATCAACCTCCCTACACACTTCTGCCAGCTCCAAACAGGTCCTGAAATGGAAAAGGAATAAAATATGAAAGGCAGACTAAATGAAAAGGCCAACATAGATCCCAAATGTAAAAGCAAGCCAAAATTCCATTAAACTTTTTATTAAAAATGAGAAGGTAACATGAAAACTGGTGCAAGTAAATTGAGAGCATACACAGACGCCAGCTCAGAAGGCTTCAGTATTGCAGCACAACCTGCAGCCAAAGCAGGAGCAACTTTCCATGCAGCCATCAAAAGCGGGTAATTCCTCCAAAACAAAAGAAAAGCAATTCTTAGTTTATTGAATATCAAGGTAACCGTTAAAAGCCAATATGACAAGAATCATTCAATCTACAGCACCATGCCACAAGGATAAAGATCGCCATCATTAAATACTGCATGAAGTCCACATAAATATTACACAATGAACAACAGTTCGCCTAATTATTGCAAGCCCTTGATTGGTCTCGGATTATTTAGGACCACAATCATCATAAGTTATTTTAAAAAGCATTTAGGAAGGAAATGTGCTAAAAATGTGCAGCCTCTAGCCTTCATGATAAGTCTATAATTTAACATCAGAAGAAAAAATGAAATGAATTTATTTACCAACTAGGTCCATCAATAGAAGATATAGAAGTTAACGACCAACACATTCATTCACTTCATTTGTAATTTATGTAGCGAATGAAAGTGGCTCTAGGCAAAACAAACAAGCAAACCGAAGAACAAGACCAGGTTAAGCACAAATCTCATACAAATATTGGGTGACTGGGAGAACAGCAACACTCAAGGATAATTCCATCACGAAATAAACACATGCATCGTGGCCAGTAAGCAGCAAAATACTAAGACAAAAAAAAAAAGTGAAAAACAACAGCAGCAGGCTGGAAGTACCATGGGATTATCAAACCGACAACCCCAATGGGTTCCTTGATCACATAGCTCTTAAATGCCTTCATAGGAAGAGAGACAGGAGCGTTTTGCTTGGCATCTAAACCTTCAGCAAGGTCTGCATAGTACTCAAAGCAGCCAGCAACATCCTCCTAAAACACAAATAAATAGGTTAAAATCCAACAGAACATAGAAACATAACATTTGCAAATATGTTGCAGGCATACCATGTCCCCTTCTGCTTCATTAAGTGGTTTCCCACAATCAATCGTTTCAAGTTTTGCAAGTTCAGATTTTCTCTCTTTTATCTGTATCATTCAAAAAACCCATTAAATAAGAGGTCATGACATCAAAAAAAATGCAGTCACTTTCATTGAGAGAACAAGCACAACAATCACAAAAACTAACAAACATACAAGCATTACAGTTAAAAGAAAACTCTGTTAGAAATTCAGCTTAAAAAGAAAATGCAAGTTCTTCATCAATCAAACCCAGATGGTTAAATTAGCTTAAACCAATTCCAACTAGCTATTAACTCTTATCTGTGATACCATTTCTTTCTGTCCACTTAAGTAATGAAACTAATGACAAGGAATTTAAAAAAAAAAAAAAAAACAGCTTGTGATGTGACTGTTAACTCAACAGCATATTCATAAGTTTCTTGAAAACATACAGATTGTTCTGTAGGAAGGATAAATCTAAGAAATTAAAAAAATTTCATACGAAAAAGGGCACAATTTACAGTTTTTGCAAAGTTGGTGACTTGAATACAACCTTGAGATCGATAAATCTAGTCCCAAGTTCACGCATTAGGCTTTAATGCAGAAATGTTGTTCCAAAATTGACAACAATTATTCAGATAAAGGAGACTCATTAGTTCAATTACTTCCACCAGTAAACAGGTTCAAGTAGTGAAGTGAGGCCCCATTTAATCACTCTTTTTCACAGTTGGTAAAACTATTTAGATGTAAAAGCAAACAACAGCATTTTTCAACAATTGGCCTTCCATGAAAAAAAAAAATTCCCAATTTTACTTTTATGTGCAACCATTATGATTGAATCCGTATTACTTTTAAATTGTTTCATCATTCTAATCTAGTATAATTTTACTTATTGCTATTGGTTTTGATTCTATAGCAAAATTCCAAAAACAAAAAAAAAACCAAAACAAAAATTTTCTATACAGTAAAAACATACTAGTAGAGTCTAAAAAAGGGTTGAATTAGCAATTTTTTATGTCAAGAAATTCGCGCGCACACCATAGCTAGATAACAATTAATAAAGGTAAATTTTTGAGAAAGCAAAAGCAAATAGTAATAACTAAGAAATAAAAAGGAAGACTGAAATTGTAATTACCTTAGCAGCAATGGCACGCAAATACTTAGCACGGACAGCACCCGAAGCTAAGGCCCAATCTTTACCTTTATTCCGAGCAAGTGCTCTCCGAGCAGCCTCCACCGCAACCTCCACATCTTCAGCAGTCGCCGCAGGAATATCACCTGAAAAGAAGAAGAAAGAAAAAAAAAGTATTATGAACAAAACCACATTTTTCTAAAGCTTAAAAGGAAAAATAAAGGAAAGTAACAGAGATAGTGAAGAAAAAAAAAGGAAACCGATGATTTCTTCGGTAGTAGGGTTGACGATAGGGATGCGTTTCTTAAGTATAGGCTCTTTCCAGTTGCCGTCGATGAAAAGTTGTCGACTTGGAATCGGAATCGCCATTTTTTTGCTGATCTTGTTCGTTCCGCAGAGCGGACTTAGATAATTTGATAGCTAAATGTTTGCCATAAATAATCATTGATCATTTGATTATGAATTTGAAAATGACTTTTATTATATGGATTTTTTCCCTTTTTTTTTTTTTTTTGTCCTTTTCTATCAAATTTTGATAATGTAAGGATGATATTAGCTGGCAAAGAACGTAAGGATGATATTAGCCGGTAAAAATACAACAGAAAATCTCTTTTTTTTTCAAAAAAATGAAAATTTTTTAAAAATTTTTTTTTTTTTTTGAAAGCTGATTTCAAACAAAACGATACTAAATTAATCCGATCATGTATATTCTTACAACACAAAATGATAAAATTTGTATTTTTCAGCCAAATTTCTAAGAGTGTAAAAAGATACCTGTAAGTGTTTGTATGAGTAAAATCGCAATATATCGATTTTATTTTAAAATTATGAGATATCAAAATATTTAATAATATATCATGATAAATTATAAGAATAATATAATTTAAAAAAAAGTTAGTAGGAAAATATTAAAAAAATATACATAATTTTATTTAATTTATGAATTTAATAAATAAAAAATAATATATTTTTTAATTTTATAGTATTAATTTATTTTATGAAATCAATTTAATTAATTATCTTTAATAATATATTTTTATTTTTTTTATAATTATATTTAGAATTATTAAAAAAAATTTTAAAGGTAAAACATTTCAAACTCATTTTACATCTAATGATATGAATTTATAATTATTTTCATCCTTTTACATTAATAATTTTTTTATTTAGAATCTTTTAATTTTAAAAATATCAATTTTTTATATTGTTAAGTTAATTATTTACTTTAAATTTTTGTTACGTTTGTTTTACTTTTCATTTCATTTAGAATTATTATAATTCTTTTTTAAATTATTATGACATCAAATTATATCAATTTTACAATTATTTTTAATTTTTTTACTTTTTTACGTTAATACTTATAATTTTGTTTGAAATTACTTTTTATTTATAATAATTTTTTACGTTATCAATTTAATTATTTACATTATAATAATTTGTTTTTACACTTGTTCTTATCTTTTATTACATTTATAATTATAACAACTTTTTTCTTAAGATATTACAATACTTCTAATACACTTTTATGTCAAATGATATAAATTTTACAATTATTCTCACATTTTTACGTAAACACTTATTTTTTGTTTGAATTATTTTTTTATTTACAATAATAATTTTTTTTATGTTATCAACTTAACTATTTACGTTAAAATAATATTTGTTACACTTGTTCTTATATTTCATTACATTTAAAATTATCACAACTCTTCTTTGTTCGATAGTTTTAACCTATTTTACATAAATGATATTAATTTTAAGATTATTCTCATCTTTTAATATTACGATACTTTTAACATATTGTATATTAAATTATATTAATTTTACAATTATTTTCATATTTTTACATTAACACTTATTTTTAGGTTTAGAATTATTTTTTATTTATAATAATAATTTTTTACATTATCAATTTAATTATTTACATTACAATAAAATCTGTTATACTTATTCTTATATTTTATTATATTTAGAATTATCACAATATTTTTTTAAGTATTACGACATTTCAAACATATTTTATGTCAAATTATACTAATTTTACTATTATATTCATTTTTTTTACTTTAACGCTTATTTTTTTATTTAGAATTATTTTTATTTATAATACTAATTTTTTTACGTTACAAATTTATTACGTTTCAATAATATCATTTACATTTATTATTACTTTTCATTACGTTTAAAATTATTACAATTTTTTTGTTAAGGTGAAATGATACTTCGAATCATCTTATGTAAAATAATATCAATTTTACAATTATTCTCACTATTTTATGTTAACTCCTATTTTTTGTTTAAAATTATTTTTTATTTGTAATAATAATTTTTTTACATTACCAACTTAATTATTTATGTTATAATAATATTTTCTTACACTTGTTATTGCTTTTTATTCTATTTAAGATTATCATAATTATTTCTTAAAAGTGTTATAATACTTCTAACTATTTTACGCCTAATGATATCAATTATATAATTACTCTCATCTTTAAATTTATTTTTTGGTTTAGAGTTATTATTTATTTGTAATAATAATTCTTTTATGTTGCAAAAAATATCATTTATGTTATAATAATATTTTTTATACTTGTTTCTATTTTTTATTACATTTAGAATTATTATAACTTTTTTTAAGCTGTTACAACACTTCTAATTTAATTTACATCAACTGACACCAATTTTACAATTGTTTTTATCCTTTTATATTACGATATTATAACATATATTTACACTAAATGATTCCAATTTTTTAATTATTCTCACATTTTTTGTTTAGAATTATTTTTTATTTATAATAATAATTTTTATATTGTCAACTTATATTCATGTTACAATAAAATTTTTTACGCTTATTCATACCTTTTATTTTATTTAGAATTATCACAAAATTTTCTTAAGATATTATGATATTTCTAATATATTTTACGTCAAATTATACCAATTTTATAATTATTCTCACATTTTTATGTTAACACATATTTTTTGATTAAATTAATTTTTTATTTATAATACTAATTTTTTACGTTACTAATTTATTATGTTTCATTAATATCTTTTTACGTGTATGTTATTTTTCATTATGTTTATAATTGTTATAATTTTTTTCCTTAAAGTGTAATGATATTTTTAATTATTTTATATTAAATAATATTAATTTTACGATTATTCTTACAATTTTATATTAACTATTAACTTTTTATTTAAAATTATTTTTTATTTGTAATAATAGTTCTTTTATATTACCAACTTAATTATTTATATTCTAATAATATATATATATATATTTATGTTTGTTGTTACCTTTCATTATATTTAGAAGTATTACAACTTTTTTCTTAAAAATGTTATAACACATCTAACTATTTTACGTCAAATAATATCAAGTTTATGACTACTTTCTCCTTTTTTTAGACTAACACTTATTTTTTGGTTTAAAATTATTAATTATTTGTAATAATAATTCTTTTATGTTACCAAAAATATTATTGTAAAATATTATTTATGTTACAATAATATTTTTGTTACACTGGTTCTTACTTTTTATTATATTTAAATTCATAACAATTCTTTTATTAGGGTGTTACGATAATTTTAATCCACTTTATGTCAAGTGATACAATTTTATAACTATTCTTACCTTTTTACATTACAACACTTCTTACTCACATTATGCCAAATGATTTCAATTTTACAGTTACTTTCACGTTTTTGTGTTAACATTTTTTTTTGTTTAGAATTATTTTTTATTTATAATAATAATTTTTTTATGTTGTCAACTTAATTATTTATGTTATAATAATATCTTTTTACGTTTGTTGTTACTTTTATTACGTTTAGGATTATCATAATTTTTTTCTTAAAGATGTTACTATACTTCTAATCATTTTACGTCAAAAAATACTCACTTTTACAATTATTTTTATCTTTTTACATTAACACTTATTTTTTAAGTGTAAGAATTTTTTTTATTTATATAATACTAATTTTTTTGCATTATCAATTTAATTATTTATATTTTAATAATTTTTTTACACTTATTGTTACTTTTCATTATATTTAGAATTATCACAATATTTTATTAAGATATAATGATATTTGTAATCATTTTACATCAAATAATATTACTTTTACGATTATTTTCATTTATTTACATTAACTTTTTTTTATTTAAATTTTTTTTATTTGTAATAATATTTCTTTTACATTACCAATTTAATTATTTTTGTTACAATAATATCTTTTTATACCTATTTTTACTTTTTATTACGTTTATAATCATCAAAACTCTTTATTAAGGTGTTATAATACTTCTAACTCATTTTATGTTAAACAATATTAATTTTACGATTATTCTCATGTTTTTACGTTAACATTTATTTATTAGTTTAAAATTATTGTTTGAGTTTAATGTAATAATTTTTTTATGTTATCAACTTAATTAATTACGTTACAATAATATCTCTTTATACTTGTTCTTACTTTTATTATGTTTAAAATTATCACAACTTTCTCTTAAGATGTTATGACATATCTAATACATCTTATGTCAAATGATAGCAATTTTACGATAATTCTAATATTTTTATGTTAACTTATTTTCAATTAAATTTTTTTAAATGTTATATTATCTTGTTCTTTTTTTTAGAAAATTTAAATAGATTGTATTTACTTGTTAAAAGTTTCTTTTATTTTATTTAATAAATAATATTTAATGTTAATTAATTAAATTTTGATTAACAGGTTAACAAATAATTAATTATTTTTACAATTTAAAAAATCAATGATTTATATTAATTCTTTATGTCTAATGGTTATTATTCAATGACTTTATAATAAGGTCAAAAAATTTAAATTTATTGCAAAAGTTCCCGTACGACTGAAGGAATTTAAGACAGGAGAAATTGTTTCAATAAAATTGAAATCAGTTGGAAAGGTTAAATTAATAATTGTATCAGTAAAATTATATATTATAAAATTAAAAAGTAGTAGAGTAACAATGAAGGGAAATTAGATATTATAAAATTAAAAATAATGATAGAAGTAAAATTAATGACAGTAATAATAAAATTAAATTTTGTAACAATAAAATTAAATGTAGTGGAGATGAGTTGATTAATTTTTGAATCAGTTTGATACATTATTAGATTAGAAGCTTAAAATTTACAAATTTAAAAAAATTGTTGCTAATAATATTCTTTTTAATTAAGTAATAAGGTAAAAAGATTTAAGAATAAATTAAAATTTAAAAAAAAAGTGATAAAGATATGTGTTTTTAGATGAAAGGATAAGAATAATAATGAGATTAGACATAACAATCAAAAGCAATCTGAGTGTTCCAATTGAAAAAATTTTCTTTTCAATTTTCCACTTAAACAATGATAGTGAATTACTCGATTCTTCCCTCTCCAATTGTAATGAATCTGATAGTTGCAGAAAATAAAAAGGCAGAATGGAAAGCTGAAATGTCAAGTAAGACAGAGAAAGGTGACTAGTATGCGAAGGAATTGAGATACGCATTTTTAATGTCAAGTAGGAAAAGAAATGGAGAACAACATGAGGATGAGCTGGGAAAGGTAGCTTCTGAAAGGATGAATATGAATAGCACGGGTGGCAATACTGTTATGAGTAAACAACTGGAAGAATCTAATTAGTTAGTAACTTTCAGTGGCCACTTACTTTCGGGAGAGCCTCGTAATAAGCAGATAAATGCAAAATGATGTAACGAGAGCCAACAAAAGGCCAATCATGTAACGAATGATGATATGAATGAAAATATCAAAGCTTTTTGCTTTTTTGCTACTTTCTTTTCTGGTCTTGTTCCACCTTCTTTCACTTTCTGGTCTCTTTCTTAATTCTCTTCTATCAAGTTCATCTAGTCACAATTATTTTGTGACACCAATCTCTCAAATAAAAGTGATATGGATCAAGTATAATCAAACTCATATTTAGTATTAATAATTTATATATTTATTTAAATTCGATGCAATTGAAATTTTAAATTTTAAAATTTTTTTAAATTCAATCTAAATTAAAAAAAAAAAATCAAGTTCACCTATAAAATTTAATTTATATAATAAAAAATTTAAAAAATATGATTAAATTAAATTTAATAAAATTATACTTAATTTATATATACATTAAAAATTAAAATTATATATATTAAAAATAAAAATTAAATTTAATAAAAAATATATAATTTTTATATAACACACATATATATAAATAATAATAATTATATATATATATGAATTCTGATAGAATCGAATATATTCAAATTTTAAATTTTTTATTCAAAATCTGACTTAATTTAAACGAATTTAAAAATTATATTCAAATGTCTACTCCCAAATTGAAAATCACAATGCAATTGAAAGCCCTCGACTAAACCATTATGCAATTGGTGGAAAAAGACTTGGATCGTACAGTGAGAGCAATGAAATCAAAACACAACCTTAGTAACATTATTTGAAGAAAAGTAGTAACCTATTACTGTTAAATATCTTTTTCTAAGATGAAATCACCACATAAATAGTAATAAGAAAATCTTGACAATGAGCAGTCCATGGAGTGTAAGCGGCAAAGATTTGGGATCAGACCACGATCCCACCTTATCCTAGTTAGGTGAGTGCGGTCAAAATTTCATTATTTCAATACTTCACTCTTGTTTTATTTCTTCTTTTTCCGCTCTTTCGGTACATCTGCAATGGTTTATTTTATTTCTCTGTATCAAGGAGAATTCTCACAGCTTTGATGGAGTGCGATACCATCCCCATGGTTCATTGGAGACATACCGTGTGACCTGCTTCACGCTCAGGTAATTGTCGAGACCCCTGTAGAGAAAAGCCAGCAAAAACCGACCAGCAGTTAGAATAGGTTCCAGCAATTGTCCATAACCACATTTCTTTAGAAGAGGAAGAAGAAAAAACGGCATTTTCTTGATGCAAGAAACAATAAGACGCTGTTATACTGTAATTTGGATAATCAGGGTAATACCATTCCCCTAGTTCACGCCCAAAACCACTGCGTTTGTTGCCTCCCCATGGAGCTTGACAGAAGCATGGCTGTGAACAATTGATCCACACAATGCCCGCTTGAAGAGCCTGCAAAACAGGTGAAAAGATATAACTAATTCACTAACTATTTACAACAGCTGAAAGCTTCAACCACAAACTAGAAGCAACTCTCACCTTGCTTACTCGATCACATCTTTCCAGGTCATTTGATATCACAGCACCACCCAACCCATATCTGGAAATTAGAAAAAAAAATCATTCTCTATACAAAACAATAAAGAGAAGGGAAAGAAATCATGAAGCAACCAAAACAAATTAGAGATATTTCATTGTATCATATCCTGACAAACTATCAAGTTACTGGACTTCAACAACAAGAAAATTGGGGGACATACTGGGTGTCATTTGCCAATTCAAGGGCTTCCTCTTCCGTACTAAATATTTTAACACAAAGAACGGGTCCAAAAACTTCTTCTCTCCAGATTTGCATGGAGGTTGTCACATCAGATATTATAGTTGGTTCAACAAAAAAACCCTTCTTTAAATGCTGCCAAAAATTCGTCAATTATATAAGAGAAGGTGACAGGTTTAGAAAGAGAAACACGGCAAATAATGAGAGGCAGTGGATACCTTAGGACGAACTCCACCACACAAAATAGTAGCACCCTCATTCTCAGCAGTTGAGATGAATTTCAATACTTTCTCATACTGCAGCCAATGGAATTAAATTTTAGTAAGTACAAGATCTTGAAATCTTGAATATCTAGGTACTAGCATGTCTAACAATCCACTCTTAAGTAACATTCGCTGCCAAATCAACCTAGTTTACAAATTCAATAGCTATACCTCTCACCCCCAACTGCTAGGAAGAGAACTGTAGAGACAATGGAAATATAACCTACTATGGTGGATTTAACAAAAAGCATTAATGGGAGAAAAGAACAAGGATGGAGAACCAGGCTATTGCTGCAGAGTTTAGAATTTTTTACTGGCCCTGCTCCCCCATTCCAATAGAAAGAAAAAGAAAGGAGAGAAAATGATTCATAGTACTCAAACAGCAATCTTACCTGCCCTCCGCTAACAACGGGGCCAAGCCTGCAACCTTCTTCCAAGGGATCTGAAATCTTAATGGTTTTAGTCCATTTTACAAGCCTGTGCAGAAATTCTTTTGCAATGCTTTCCTGAGACATTTAAATGAAAATTTTCATAATCAGAAGAAATATGCAAACAAGAAGAATAGGAAAAAGGGACAAGGATAGATTTCAGCTGACCGCATTATAAATAAGCCCACGTTATCTAGTGTAAAATACAAGTGATATTTACGGCTCTTGTTCACTATATCAGGAACAAGAAATTCTATCTTCCAAAAAGAAATACTGTGAGACAGGAAAAAATTGCAGCATCCTATTGCCATTGAATATGATGTTTAAGTCCATAGACCAAAATTTAAAGCAGAATAGGTGGGCTCTAACAAGGTATGTTCACATCGAACACTGTTTGCTTTGGCAAATAAACAGTGAATCATGTAGGGATGAAAGGTGCATAAAGTTGTGATTACTGCTCTTATTAATCTTTCTGATTTAATAGCTAATTAATGTGAACAGCAGAATTATGATAGTTCTGGACCATTGACATTTGCTTTCTATTTGTCAATTGTGTTCCTCAAATAGTCTGTTCAGTCCAATGGCTGACATCAGCTCATATTAAGTTCTTTGACCTTTTAGATTTGGGTCTGTGGGAGGTTAATTGACTGAGTTATCTTATTTCCACAACACCATGCCCTAAGGAACCCTTCTAGGTTGTGTGCTTACTCTAGGAAGTGGTTAGTTACACCAATTTGTATGTGAACTGGGTTTGTTCATATCATGCAAGAAGCTGAACCAAATTGCATGGCCGCATGGTGTACCATAACCTTATTCCAGGTTACTACAAATATCCCCCTCTATAATTTGAACCAAAAAAAGATATGGAATGATGAACGATCAAAAACTGTATATAAAAAAAAAAAGCAAACAATGAGGTCAAGCAACTTACATGTACAATAAGACGGGATGTTGCACTGCAGATCTGTCCGTTTGTCCAGAAGCAACCAAATGCAGTCCATTCGGCAGCTATTAAAATCACCGAGAATTTCAACAACTTTAAAAGACACAGAGTCAGTTAAAAAGAAAAGAAAAAAAAACTTGACCACCATGGGGCATTCTTTTTCTAACATGATAGGTTTCAGAAACCTGTTATTTATGAACAATTTGTTTCTGAAAAAGAGTCCAATAATACAAGGAACATGGGAAAGACAACAATTAAATTGTAATTCAGATGGCACTAACCCTTGTCAAGGTCAACATCCTCAAACACAATGATTGGGCTTTTCCCTCCAAGCTCTAAAGAAACAGGCTGCCAGAGAAAGCGCATAAAAGATTTTATGCACAGATCAAAAGTGACTAACAACAAAATGACAGAAAAAGAAAAAAACATTTTAGCTTTGTTTCTATAACTGTAATATACCTTGACAATTTGAGCTGCTGCTGACATTATCCTGCTCCCTGTTGCAGTGCTTCCGGTAAAGGCAATCTGTTTAAAACTAACTATCAGAACTTATTCCATTGTTGGTATTTATCTTATAATGGTCAATGACCAAAATCAGCAACCATTCCTAATTCAAGTTCAAAGAAAAGCTTCAATGAAATAAAGACAATCAGAACCTTGTCAACATTCGGATGAGATGCCAAAGGAGCACCAGCTTCAGGGCCAAGTCCAGTCAGAATGTTCAGGACACCAGGAGGAAGACTGACCTCCCTACACACTTCAGCCAGCTCCAAACAGGTGCTGGGAAAAAAAATAGACGAATACATCATGAGCTGCATTGTTGGTCCCAAATACAAAATATAAACCAAGGTTCTCAAAATTTCATACAAAGTGACAAATTAACAAACTACTGCAACTAAGGTGACAACATACATAGATGCTAACTCGGAAGGCTTCAGTATTGCAGCACAACCTGCAGCCAAGGCAGGAGCAACTTTCCATGCAGCCATCAATAGCGGGTAATTCCTTCAAAACAGAAGAAAAACAACAATCCAGAGAAGTCATTGTCAAGAGTCTGCAAGTCATCCACAAATGTGTAAGTCCAATTAATTGATATGAAGCACATAACAGAATATCAAATGGGACAATCAAGCCTGCAAATGTAACTAATATCAATTTGCAACTATGACAACTATTTTGCAATTACCACAACAGGAAAAATAATACACAGACCTAGTTTCATGTAACCAAGCTACCATTATATACAATGCACCCAAAACAAAAAACTCACACAATGTGCACAATTAGCTTTGATAAATTGTACAAGAAAACCTAAGAATAGGACAAGGTGAAGGAGATCTTTACTCATAATTGTAGAACTAAGCGCATAGAAGTGCCAGTGAATGATGATATTTAGAAATAGTTACACTCCATTTACACAAAAACTACAAAATAAGAAGCAAATAATACCACGGAGTAATCAATCCAACAACCCCAATTGGTTCCTTAAGCACAAAACTCCTAAATGTCTCCATTGGAAGCGAGACAGGAGCCTTTTGCTTTGCATCTAAACCTTCAGCAAGGTCTGCATAGTACTCAAAACATCCAGCAACATCATCCTGAATAAAATGAATAAACAGGTAAGAAAATATTTGAAATACTGAGTCATGGAACCTTCATCGGTGTTATAAGCATACAATGTCCCAAGCTGCTTCATCAAGTGGTTTCCCACAATCAATTGCTTCAAGCTTTGCTAATTCAGATTTTTTCTCCGTTATCTGGACATTCAAACAAACTCAACACATCAGAATTGAGCCAATACAGCCAATTCAAAGCTGAGAACAATAAAAAAAAAAAAAAATCAGAAACTGTAAGAAATGCTAGGATACTCTGTTACAAGCAATATCTGTAATAGGACTGTGATAAAGAAAATAATTTTACATCCTCATCCACAAAAGTCATCATCATCACTTCAGTTCAAATTTAAATGAATCATTTAGTTATCACCAATGTTATTTCTATCTGACTTACTCCCCACTACTTAGCTAACAAGTCCAGTGACAGAAAAGAAAAACTTGACTGCATTTGCGTATTGGGTGATTCTAAATAAACCCCCAATTTTCTCTCTATACCCACTTCTTTTTTTCAAAATTTCTCTAGGTGAAATTACTTATTTATCCTTCTCATCTTAATTTTAAAGCTTCCGGATATGCATTTTACTTATAAACTTACTGAAAATGCATATGCCTTATATAACTTACCGGATTTTCATATCTGGTAAATTAAAAAAAAAGTTACATTTAGGTTTGAGAAAAAAATAGTTGAGAGAAAAAATCTTTCGGAATTTTTAAATTCCAATTATGTAAATCCGAAAACTTTTAAAAGCTTCCGGATATGCAATTCCAAAGGCTTTTAAGAGCTTTTGAATAAAAATAGAAGAGTGTTAAGAGAAAAGAGAATAGATAATTAAGTAATTTCATTTAAAATGATTTTGAAAAAAAAAAAAGGTGTAGAAAGAAAAAATGGGAGTGTATTTAGAATTTCCCTTTTGTATTTCATTGCAATGACATTGCTAACCCAATAATATTAACATACCACAAAATTTCTCTAGAGCATCTATTTTATACAAGCACATTGGTCCCCAAGTTAGCATTTATACAAAATAGGTATAAATCTGCAGTGAAAATTCAAAGAAGAAATACCCAAAATTACTGCTACTGCCTGGACCATTTGATCCAACCAAAACTAATAGAATCTTAAGGACATGCACGCAGAAGTCATAATTTTCAGCATAGCAATTCGGGAACAGCACACAGTAAATCACCTATGTGGTTGTGCTGAGTGATCTACTACGACAACAATAACAAGTTTACTACAACCAAAGCCTTTTCTCTCTACAAGGGGTCGCGGTATGGATAAAATTGTGATCCTGCGCCCTACTCAAGGACCATATCCTCAGTAACTCCAAATCTCATTAACATGATTACGACTTTCAAAATGAAGTAAATTATTCAAAATTATCTTTATAACTAGATAAGTGTACCGTATTTATACCTTAGCAGCGATGGCACGTAAATACTTAGCACGAACAGCGCCAGAAGCTGAAGCCCAGTCCTTCCCTTTGTTTCTAGATAGAGCTCTCCGAGCAGCAGCCACCGCAAGCTCCACATCTTCAGCCGTAGCTGCTGGAATATCACCTGAAAAGAAACACATGAAACCTCACAATTTTCAACATTTCAAAGCCTTATCCGATAAACACCAAGTAATATTCCCTGATTAAACCACTAATCAACAAAACTAAAAGCTCGATCCACAATGCAAGAAAGAAAAAAAAATAACCGATGATCTGTTCAGTGGCAGGGTTGATAATTGGGATTCGCTTCTTGAGAACGGGCTCTCTCCACTCCCCGTCGATGAGTAACTGCCGACTCGGAATTTGGACCGCCATATTAACTCAGTTTTTTTTTTTTCTTGGTTTCACTCTCAGACTCGAAGAAGTGTTAAAGTTGATTACCGGCTGGGTAAGATGGTGGGGGGCCGGTTATTTTATAGAGATGGTTGACCCCTTTAAATGGGGCCACGCCGCTACCTGTATGGTCTAGGCACCGAAGTAGGTGGTTATTGTCTTTTTATTATTATTATTTTTAAGTCCTCGATCTACCGTCTGTCTATGTTTATTATAATGATCAAAATTATTATAGCATTATTAGACACTTAATTTTATTTAAAATATTTTATTTTTTTAAATTAAATTTATTTATGTAATTAGATTTTGATCTTAATTTTTTGAATCAATTAACATATCAATTTTAAATACTTAAAAATGACTCAATATAAATCTCATAATGAGAACATATGACATAGACCAAAGGAGGGTCCAAGATGACCCATTATTGGTCATTAAATCGAAAAAAATAATAATAGTAATAAAAAATATATAAATATATATAATAATAAAAAATAAAAAATATATATATAAAAAAAAGTTTGGTCAAAATATTTATATATACAAAATATATAAAAAAATAAAAAAAAAGTGCTTAGAAAGCCCAAACAAAACACTAGTTTCTTGTTGAAGGCCTATTTGATGGCCCATAAAAGAGGCCCATTTAGCCTGAAAATTTGGCATGAAATTAAGGCCAATCGGCCTAGTTAGTGGCAGGGAAATAAGGCAAACAAAAAAACTGCTCGGAACGAAAAAAGAAGAGAAAGCTGGCATGCTGGGACGTGGGATGCATGAGGAACAGTTGCATGAACGTGGAGGGGACGCAGTGAAAAGCAGCAGCCAAAAAGGGATGAAAAACCAACAAAAAAAAAAAAACAAGGAAAAAAGGGGCGGCAGTTTAAAAAAGAGGGAGAGGAAAACTAACTAGAGAGGCAGAACTGCCAAGTAGAAAAAAGGGATGAAGCGGCAGCAAAACGAGGAAGGCAGAAAAGGAACCACAAAAAAAAGAAGAGAGACCAAAAAAGGGTGGCAGTAAGCAGAAAAATAGGCAGCAAGAAAACAAGCAGGAACAGCCAGAAGAAAAGGAGGAGAAAAGCTGGGCATGGGGTGGTTTTTGTTTAACAGTGAAGAAGAAAAAAAAAAAGGAGGAAGGTGACGTGCTGAAGGAAACTGGGTAATGCAGCTTGTAAGGGAAAAAGAGAAGCAAACCAGCAGCAAATAAAAAAGGATGGTGTGAAGAAAAGCTAAAGCTGGAAAAAGCAAAAAGGAGGAAGGGAGCAAGGAAGTGGGGATAGGAAAAAAGGGCAGAAAAAATATAAAGAGAAGAATACCAAAAAAAAACTGAAAACAGAAAAATGAAGGAGGTGGCTGACTAAAGAAGAAGACGAACGGAGAGGAGAAAAGGAAAATGCATGGCAGTGGTAGCAACGAAAACAACCTGGAGAATTAGCGGACAAAAAAAAAAGGTGAACAAGAACTGAAGCAGTAAAAACAAACAAAAAAAGGCAGAAGAGAAGAACAAGAAAAACATAGCAGAACGGGTCGCAAGTAGAGCAGAAAATAGCCCCAAAAAAAATTGGAAACGAGAAGAGAAAGGAAAGGTCCGCGTAGTTGCAGAAGGAAGACGATTCAAAACCAATATAAAAGAAAATAATAAAAGGAAGAACGAACGTAGGTAAGCTCTCCCTCTTTCCTTTCCTTTTAAATATATGTAATATATATGTTTATTAGTTGTATGCAGCAGGTTCATTTTGGGGGTTTTATTTATTTATTTGTTTTTTAAACTAAAATTCTTATGTAAAAAGGTCCATACGTTTCCTTGCTGCATGACAGGCTTAAAGCATGTTTTTTTTTTTTCTTCTTTGTTTCCTGTTCACTGTCCTTGCATATTGGTTCTTGTAGGAGTCTAAATTGTGCATGTTGTTCTTTTTCCTGTCCCGCGTGTCGATTGTTGGTCGGAACTTACTGCATCCTTGGCTCATATATGTTGATCTTTGTTGCATGAGTTGAAAGTTCTTTTCTTAACTTAATGAATTAAAGGTTGGGATTAAGACAAAGTCAGTATGTATGCAGGAAAGTTGGTGGGGATGAGTTTTAGCTTTCTACCTATTGCCCATATTGTTTTTTATTTTTTTTATCCATGAAACTAGTAAGCTAAGCTAATGGATTTGATTTTTCTTACTAAGCCTATGCATATTTCTCTTGGAATTAAGTTTAGCTCAAATTTTTTACATTATATTTTCTTTGGTGCTCATTTTAATTTCATTTTTTTATGCTTTAATTTTCAAGGTGATTTATTCCTCATGCATTTAAAAAAAAATTTTTTTTTAAATAATAACAAACTAATAGTAATAAATTAAAAATATAAATTATAATAAATATAAAAAAATAATTTTTAAAATCTCTATCTAAATGTTGGAGGGAATTAAAAAATTATTTTAAAAATATTTTAGCCTAGATGTAGGGTAATTATTAATTATTAAATAATATAATAACAAAAGATTAATAAATTATAATGATGGTAAAATTTTTAATGAAAAGAAATATATAAGGGTATAAAAATTCATTTTTAAAAAAATTATAAAAAGTAAGTTTGTTCCAAAACTCTATTTAGATGTTAAAAATTTTTAGAAAGACTCTGTAAATTTCTAAACCAAAACCATAAATTAAAACTTTAAATTGAAACCCTAAACCTTAAATGAAATCATAAGATTAAACCCTTAAGTAAAAATCGAAAATCCTAGGTAAAACCCTAAACCATAAAACCCAAAACTCTAGGCGAAATCCTAAACGCCAGGTGAAACCCTAAGTTTACCTAAAACTTAAAAATCATCCTAAATTTCTAAGTATTTGTATGATAGCTTTTTATGAAATAATATGTTCTTAAATACTACTTAAATGATGGGATATTTAAAAATTTTATTTCATTAAGAAATTTTATATAATTTCATATTTTAAAATAATAAAATTAAATAAAGAATAAAAATAAAAAATAAAAAAAATTTAAAATATAAAAAATTACACCCAAACTCTGTCTAGAGATTAAAAAATCCACGTTATCTTTTTATATTTAAAAATTCAATTTTAAATTTAAATCATCTCGTCATTTAAGATACATCTACATATTGCACACCTTAATTAGTTTGAGCTTAAGTCTATTGGGTCTGATCCAACAAGATCCAAGCTTAGTCCAAACTAATTGCGCCTAGCTCAATAGGCCCTGGATATTAGGCCCAATCAGCCTTTTTTTTTTTTTCTTTCTTTACTTTCATTTTCATTTTCATTTTATTTTATTATTTTTTGGTTTCTTATTTATCTCAATTTTTTTTGTTGATTTACCTGCTTATTTATTGAATTTATCAGTAATTTTTTTAGGAGATAATAAATTTGACTGCGGTTGGAGTGACAGAATGGTGGAAGGACTCGATCTCTACAAGATAAAGGTTGAAGGGGAAGTCATGGATAAGTGAAAATTCTTCTGGATTTTCATTATAAATATGGAATCACAACCCCATAGACGGGGAGGGCAACTGATCAAAGAAAAAACAAAAAAAAAAACAGAAACACACAAAAATTCAAGCTGAAAAATACAAAAATCACCGACCCACTATTTTTCTACCATCACAAACCCATACACAGACACCATCAACAACTACAGTCACACAATAAACACAGAGGTAGAATCTAGAGACAAAATACCAACATCCAACTAAGTAGCAAAAATCACAATTCAGCATCAATACAGAGGACCAACACAGAATCAGAAAGATCAAAAAGAAGGTTTGACGTAGGGCTTTGGGATTTTCAGAGGTTCCAAATTTCAGGATTTTCGAGCTTAGCTTTGGAAGGAGATCGAAGAAGCTAACGGCTGGAACATCAACAGAGTATTGCAATGGCCAATGGTGGTGGCACCAAAGGTGACTTACAGTAGCTGTGATCGCTGTTGGTTGGGGGGCTTTCGGGGCTCTTTGAGTTGCGAAAAGAAAGGAGGCCAACAAAGGAGTGAAAACTGCTGATAGAAATTTTACAAACCCTGAGGCGACAGTCTCTGACCGCTGGTGGGCTTTGCTTTATACCCGCTAGCTTCCTGAGATGGGATTGAACCATCTAACACTCCAACCAGCCATGATCTTTTTGATTGACGTCTATCGAGCCTTACATACGAGATTTTTCAATCCAATTCCTGAAGCCAAAAAAAAAAAGCCACCGGCACAAACCAGAGCAGCAGGCGGGCTGGATCGAACGTTCTTTTTTTCTCTTATAAATGAATCGTCCCAGCAAAGCAGACCTCGAAAGAGACCGGCAACAGTACAGACGACATGACATTATTTACAAGATTTATTGACGAGATCCCACCTACAGAAAAAAATGAATCGAATGCCTTATGTTATGAGCCGCTCACTTCTAACATTAAATAGAATCGACGAATATATGCGTAGTAGAGTTGATGCGAAGGCGGCCTGAAGGTTTACCTCATAGGATTCCAACATAAATCACAAAACAAGGGCTCTCTTCCCCCAAAAAAGAGAGGCACTATTAACAGGTGGCGGTGGACGGCGGCAGCACTGATTGAAACCAGTGAGAAGTCAAAAATCTTAGTCCAGAAAAGATTCTGGAAAAGACAAAGAAAGCTTGGCAGAGAAAGCAAATAAAGGAAAAGAATAAGAAAGGGTCAACTCGTTCTAAGATTGAACCCGTTTGACTGACCCCACTAATTAAGTTTTGACCCGTTTCAGCCAACCCGATTTACAAGTTGCTCCAGACTTGGCCTAGATACCGAAGAGCCCAATTCTTTTATTGGAACCAAGCCATCAAGCCGTACTTTCGAGTCGCTTTTATTTATGAAGCCAAGCCATTTTGTAACTCTGCAATCGAGCTGTTTCAATTTTTCTTTGGTATTTTTTTAGATTTTTTTATTTTTTTTATTATTTATGTTTTTTTTTTGTATTTTTATGTTTATTTTTTTAGAGTATTTTGCATGAATAAATTTAAAAAAGGAATAAAAACATATAAAATAAAATTTTCCAAAAAAAAATTTTTAAGGAAAAGTGAAAATATCAATTTTTTTTAAAAATAAAATTTTCAAAAAAATATTTTTTAAGAAAAAGTTGAAAGTATCAATTTTTTTTAAAATAAAAT